GCAAACTGGAAGAGAAGGAGCAGGGAAAACTGACAATTCCGGGATTAGAACTGATTGTAACATGTCGAGTAATTTATCATAATTAGGCTAAAAATTAGCTTAATTTTAAAAACCTTATCATTAAAAATAACCTCATCTCCAAAATGAATTTCACGGCAATAACGAATAAATTTTGCCAAACACGGACAAAATTCTTCCCAACTTGTTTGTTCTTTTAATTGTCTAATTCTTTGGCTAGCTTGATGTCTTGTAGTTGCATTTCTTTTTGAAATATTCTGAAAATAAAAATTTGAATAAAAACAAAATTCATTTAAAATTTAAACCTTCCAAGGTAAATGCCCATTAACAAGTTCTATGAGAACATAGGCCAAACTTTCAAGGTCATCTCTTCGACTCAATTCAATATTTTTGTGACTGTTTAAACTTGCATATTTTGCTGTGCCAATAAAACTACGACCACGACGAAAAGGGATATGAGTCAATGTTCTGTTCTCACCTTCACGAAATCTAAAACAAGAGAGGTAATTAAATTAAACGAAGGTAAAGTGAGAACATAGGACAAAGAATAGGCCAGAGAAGAAGAAAAGTATGGGCAGGATCTTGACGAATCCAAAAAATTAATTAGAGGTTAGTAGGAGAGATCGGAAATTTAAAAAATCCTTATTTTAATTGAGGAAAAATAAAATCTTGACCGGATTCTTGACCTTAAGGAAAATTCAAGGACAAGGAAGAATCAAGGAACACTGAAAAATGCCTTGATCATGACTTTGGATCCAGGAAAATAAAGGTCTGGGTCCAGATACAGGTTAGTAAAAGGTTAAAATCTCCAGCAGTAGGGGCTTTTAAAACAAAATAAGTAACCATACCGATATCTTCTCGCCAAACCAAAGTCGATTAAATAAAGAGTGCTTTCTTTTCCAGGAGGCAATCCCATCAGAAAATTTTCTAAAAATACAAAGGGAATTGAATAATCATCTTAAAAAAACCTGGTTTAATATCTCGATGGATAAATCCGCGTTGGTGTAGATGCCTTATTCTGTGAATCATCTGCTCACCAAGTGATACAATCGTCTAAAAAACTTGAAATGAAATGAGAAAAGGATAAAACCTGTCTAGCAAATCTTCGATTGCAAAAAGCAAATAAGGAAGCAACAGGCGCTCCCAAAAGTTCCATAACCATTATCTTAAATTAAAATTTTTTTAAAAAATGGGTTTGAAAATTCACGTTATGTCCAAATTCGTGGTCATAACAATAAACTTGAGGAAAACCTTCCACTTTTCCATTTCCATCTTCATAAAGAACGGATTTGTAAACCTGAAAAAGATTTTTTGATTAAAAAGCCAAAATTAAATAATTTACCAAATACTCATAGCGCAAATGGTTGTCACGACAAGCTGTTAAAAATAAACAAAAAATAAAATACCAAAGAAACCTCCATCAAATTTAACAGCAACTCTTTGTTTTTTAACTCCAGGACTGTGCAAATCCTCTGCTGCAAAAATTTCACCATATGAACCAGAAGCAATACTTTGCATAATTCGGAAGCGATTGTTGACGAGTAAACCAATTTTGTTTTTTATCATTGCTGCCTGCTCCCAACCTTAATAAAAAATTCTTGAAAAACAAGATTGATATATAAAAATGAGTCCACCACTAAGGTCAAATCAAGATATTTAGAGGCTAAAGGGGAATCAAGATTAAGAATACGGTGGCATGCTGACTTTTGCCTTATCTGACATTTGAAGATTCCGTCTAATTGTAAGTTTCCATAAACCCACATCCATCTTAATTCGCCCAAATCCTGATATCCCCCTTAATAAGTCTTAATCTGCACAAATCCTTTTTATCCTCCAAATATTTGGATTTGTGAGTCTCTGGGTGTGTGTGAGTACCCCTACCTTAAAGATTGATCACATAAAGATAACCTGTAACAGCAGTAGTCCAATCTCCAGCGCCATCCAACGATGGAGGTCGACATTTTTTATTAGGTGTAGTAACAATATGTTGTTGATGGTGATGAACAGCCATGACAGGATGGGCTAATTTGTGCAAAACTGCAGCGGCCGTTGATGGGGGCAAAAACGTTTGGGGTAGAAAATTAGAATGTGCTGTTGAAGCCGAGGGTGGTTGAATAAAAATATTTGGTGGAGGAGGAGGTAGAGGGGGCAATTGACTGAATGTTTGTGGAAGGGGAAGACAATCATTAATTCCCTAAAAATTAAAAAAATTATGAAGAAAAATAGAAAAAATCAACCAAAAATGTAGGCGGATTCGGTCCATGTGGGTGGTTGTGTTGACCTGAATGAATCAAATTCGCAGGAACAAAAGCAGCCGCAAAGGTAGAAGAGCCTGGCTGGCAAGGATTTGAATCCAAAAATTTTGTTCCATTATCAATTACAGGCCTAAACGATATCAAATGTAGTTGGCCCGAAGAGGGAATATTTGGTTGTTGATTAGCCATTGCTGTAGTTGGATGACAATTGGGCATTAGTTGAACAACAGCAGAGCATTTTAAATTGTGTTGGGGGGAAAGAGTTGTTGTCTGAAAATATGAAGCTGTTGCTGAAGATTGTGGTAATTGAAAAGAGTGAAAATTTGTAGAAGTTGTTAAATTATTTGGTTGATGCATTTTTGTTAGAATTTTAATTTCTTTGCAACTTGAAAAAATAACAAAAAATTATAATAAAACATTAAATCAAAAGGTAAAGTAATGTTCAATAAATAAACAAAATGTTTAGCAAAATAAATAAAAAAGAAGGGAAGAGAAAGGTACAGCCGGTAACGAGATGCGTTTGCACAAGGTTAGTACCAGCTCAAAACAAAAAAAAGTGTTGAGGCGTTCTCGCAATAACAATTGCACCATTATTTACAAACGAGTACACACTGACTTTGTATATTTCTCTGATTTACTTTCTCTCGTCTATTTTTCACTCGTGATTATTGAAAAAAATGACGGGTAGTGGACGTTTCAGTGTTGCATTTTAAAAGGAGTCGTTTCAAAGCAAATTATTCAGTGTGTCCTACTGTCGTATGAGAGAAAATCATTAAGAATTCCCGTACGGGAGTTTACGGGATTCTGTCCTGAAATCTATTGTTTTAGCGACTATCGGGATTTACGGGATTGATCCGTGGGATCCTGTCCTGTTAGGCTTGAAAATCCAGAGAAAGCGATTTTGCCGATTTAAGCCGATCATAATATTGTAAATCATATTAATAATGTAAATTTATGATAACATTTTATCATCAAAAATTAGAAACAACAGATAATACAAAATTTAGAATGTTCTATTAATTATTAACATTCAGCTGAAACAATTCGCTGTCTTGGTATCCCATTGTTCTGGGATGTTGAAGATCTGTTTATTTCAGGCCGTTTATTCTGACTAAACCCAGTTCCATTCTCAGCTTTATCCAACTGCCTTTCATTCCCTCCGACTCCATTTCGTGCAAACTGGCATTGATGCTGAAGGCGACGTTTTGCTGTACGTATAAGCCGATAGGAACCATATTTTATGTTTTCACGTCGGCGAACCATTGCCTGGTCTGATGCTAACCAACGATGTGAAAGTGCTTCGTCTGTACGCATTCTCCGCCTGTTTAATTTAAAAAATTGACACAAAAAATAATTTTATACGAAGGCTGTTTCTTTAAAGCCCAAAAAACGAATTTGAGTGCTTCTTCGCTTGCTTGTACTGGAATCTAAACAGAAAATTTAGAATACTTTAAAAATTTTTTTACAAGGTTCGGATCACAACGTTCCTCAAGCACATTATGGCGTACTTCTTGAGGTGTGTCCGTTTCATCAGCAAATGGATGAAAGCCAGCAAGTCTGAAAATCCCGGGTTTAGATTTTCCAATCATTTGATGCTCAAACTCACAGGCAAAAAGTAATTAGGCCAAGACCCCACATATCACTTTGCTGATTGGCCAAAATTTGATCTTCGTTATTTTTGGCGGAATTGTTTTCCAATCCATTAGAAGTCTTTTTAGTTGTTAATAATAGAACTTCCGGTGCAGTCCATTCTTCAAGTAACTGTCCATCACCTGCTAATCCATTACGCGAACCTATAAGACGAGCTCTCCCAAAGTCAATTAATTTAACATGCCAAGCTCGTTTTGTGGTAAACATTACGTTTGTAGGTTCAACATCACCGTGAACAAATCTGTTATTGTTTTGAGGGGTTTGAGGGTATCTCAGAGGTAAACTCACCCACAAAAGTGGATCCATCGAAGAGCACCAGCAATTTGACGAATAACAAAAGCTATTTGCTCCTATAAGTATTATTAATTGTGAGTACTATTCGAAGGATAACAACCTCAGAATATGTCTCAAGCCTCACAAATCTTTGAAAAATATCTTCATAAAGACGCTCCATGAAAAGAAGTTGGAAAGCATTGTCAGAACAATAAGCAGCTAGAAGTTGAACGATGTTTTCATGTTGACATTCTGATAGTGTTTCATATTCAATTAATGCAGCCTTCATACGTTCTGCTGGTGTTGCAAACATTAGAGAGCCGTGAGTAGGTGAGGCACGTATTTTAACTGAACAAAATATCTTTGTAATTGTAAGGAACAATAAGATTCTAAAAATACCTATACAATGGGAACTTGTTTTAGAGTCAATGGCATAGCGTATAACGCTAAACTGGCCACGGAAAAGTTCTGTTTCCAGCTGTCAATTAATATTAAATTTAAATCGGTAATGGTCTGTGGTACCTGAAATCGTTTAAGAGGATCTTCACTAGTATTCAATTGAACTTTCTTCGAAAACCCATTTCCGTTCCCATTAACAGATCCATTCCTTAAAGAATCCTTCCTAGTATTTTCATCATTTTGTATTTCAATTCCTTCTTCGTCTTCTTCCTCTTCCCTTTCAGCCAATTCTTCTTGAATTTCGGTAAGCCCTGGGCCTTTACTTTTTTGTGGCATAATAACTACAGTAAAACGACGCCCTTCCTTACGTAATACGTCTAAGTTAAATTTTGGAACACCTAAAAATCAAATAAAATATTTTCGAGGATGTGTTCGACCTCGAGGATGTGTCCGAATAATTCTTGAATGTATTGAAGGCTCTCCCCATCCAAATTCATTTTTAGCAGTTACGCGAAATTGGTAAATACCTTGAGGCTAAAAGATCAAATAGTAAATTGAATCTCCCTCTATACTTTACCAATAAATGCTTAATCACCACAGCTTCTTCCTCAACACAATTACTTAAACATGTCCAAGCCGAAAAAGCATCACGTTCACCTGCGGGTCTACATTCAATCCGATAAGTAGTTCCGTTTAGCTAATATGGTTTCTATTCAATAAAATTTCAAAAAATCATACCGTAACAGGTAACCTTTCAGGTGCTTCCCAACTAACATAAACTTCCGTATCCGCAGATAATTCAACTTCGGGACGGGAAGGACGATTTGGAGGTTCTTTAGAATTAATTATAAAATTCAAAATTCTATATTTTACCTCCTCCAATACATTTACAAATACATTTATCACGCCCCAATTCGTTTGTAGCAACACATGAGTATTCCCCTGTATCCACACCGGGTAGAGGTTTTAAAATGGTTAATCTAATAAAATCGAGTGAATATTAATCTATGTAAAGTTAACTTATTCACCGCCATATGTTATTGCCTAAACGAGTAATTTGATGCCGACCATCCTCACATAATGCACTTTCATGATGAAAGAAGGTAACCTCGGGCGAAGGGTTACCTGAGATAATTTTCGAGTTTTATCAGAAAAAAATATCTTGGATATTAACCAATAGGTTGACATTCCATATAAACCGAAGGAGAATTCTCAGAAAAATAGCCATCACGCAGTCGTGAACGAAAAATGGGTGCAAATTCTTTAAAGAAGTATTATTTTAATTTCTATTTCAATGTTTCCATACTTTTTTCACCGACATTCTGTGACTTTTCAGAAGTCTCTCCCTGAGCTTCAATACATTCATTCCCATTAGTTACTCGTAGTTGTGCACCTTCATGGGTTTGGAGTAAGCCTTCAAGAACGTTATCTACTGATTTTGCTACAAGGGGTTCTTCTGAAAAATGAGAGAAATATACATATTTGCAAATTATAAAAAGAATCCATTGGGATTAAACTTGGAAATCGCGCATATGGTATATGAGACGGATCCTTTCGGATAAATCCTAAAAATCCCGAAAATTGAAAATTACGGTATCTCAGTTTGATCCCCGAATTACTCTCTCAAATACCTCTTATTAAATCAGTATATCTACGCCTTTCTCTAACAGTTACATCTGTATTCCTTGCTCCAAGCTCTCCAGAAAAAACATAGGCAGCAGAATCTCCCCAAATTCCACGTCTATAATCTCTAACTCGAGCATTAAAACGAGCTCCAAAAGTTGGCACCAATAAAGTTTCTGGCCCAATTTGATAATTTGATTCCCAGGCAAAATCTTCATCTCCACTAATATTTTTAAGAGTCTGTAAACTTTTTACTTCACGTTCATATTCAGCATAAGCTGAATATGGTCTATAAATTTCTAGATCTTTTTCTTCTTGTTTAAGTAAGGCTGGGGTTTGCTCCTTTAAAATCATAATAAATTTAAATTGTAATTTTATCTCGTACAGAGTTTCGTTTGTCTTGATCACGTTTAACTCGATCAACGGCATCCATTAGTAAATCAAATTCTGTATCAGGCAAGTGACGGAAAGGGGAAGGTTTTTGGACTGTTGAATCATGAGAGGCATTCGGCGATAGGACCTCTTTCTTCGGCACAATCTGAACGCTCATGGTATGTTCCCCACGAGGTGAAAGTTGTACGGGTGATTTTATACCAAAATCTGGGATTTGAAGGGGAAGATGTTTGCTAGTAAAATGTTGTTCTGCTTCATCAAGTATTTCGGGTGGGGAAGAAATGTCGTCTGGAAGTTTCTGAAATTTTGAAAGAAAATTTTTTGAATGAGCAAAAATCTATTTTTATTTAATGACCTCCGATGGGAAAAAATGTTGTAATTGTTGATTAAGTGGAGGAGGAGATTCGGCCATAAATGCGGGAGAGGCTAGAGGAGTTACCGTACTAGAGGAAGGACCTTCATGTTCAGCTGTTGTTGTGGTACTCCCTTCCCCGTCAGCATCCATAGCATCTATTGGGGTTGTTGTTCTTCGAGGAACCTAATTAATTTTGTTGTTTTTAGTGTGTGTTTAACCAAAGATTAATTAAACAAAGGATTAACACAATATTTGTCAACACCTGTTTTTGCGGGCGAGGAGTAGTTGTACCAGAGGAACGTTCACTGTTTTGGGTGGCTGAGCTATTCGAATCACCTCCACCGCTTTCCTCGGAAATATCGGAAAGAACACGATTAGCAAGCTGTAAAATTAAACAAAAAATTTATCGAAAGTGGGCTGTTATTAAGCACCTCCTCTTGAATCTGTCGACGCTCTCCTCTAATTAATTTCATAAGAGCTGATTGAGGATTCTTTGAAAAATAATCAGTCTAGATTTATTTTTGTACAAAAATTACTTTTAAATCCTCTAATTTTAATTCAGTAATTCCAAACTGTTTAGCCAAGTCAGCAAGGAATTCGGTCTCTTCTGGAGTCAATTTTTGTTGTGGTTGCTGTTGTGGTTGTTTTTGTTTCTTTGCCGCAGCTGCAGCCATCTATGAATTAATTTTTGTAAAATATTTTAGAAAATTCCCTCACCTCCTCAATTTTCTTTGAAATTCCTGCAGGTAAGGGTGCAAACTGTGGAGGTCCAGTTTGCTGTTGATACCCTCCACCAGGGGCTGATCGTTCCGATGAGCCACTTCTGCTACGAGGAGGTAATGGTGGTGGAGCTCCCTGACCTTTTGGTTGAAATTCTGGAGGCAAATAAAATCCTCCTCCATAAGGGTCCCATCGCAAATGTTCTTTTTTAACGCCTGGGGGTAATTGAGAAACAATCCAATCTGGAATGGGTGGAGGTTCTGTTGGAAATCGTGGCGTTCCAGGAGATTGACTTCGTTTATTTGAAGGAGGTATGGGAAATGGAGGCTGTTGTTGTTGTCCTCCTCTATCTCCAAAGGGTTGTCCACCAAAATTATTTTGACCTCTAGGTGTAGGAGATTCACGCATTGGCAACGGAGAAAGACCCTTCTGTCTTTGAGATTGAATTTGTTGGGCAAAATGGGGCTGTTTTGCTGCTTGTTCCTCAGCTCGAATATGCAAATAATCATAAACAGCTAAAGGTTCCCTTCTAGAAATTTCTGAAGGCGTAGCAGGCTCCGCTGTAGGCCTTTTACTACTCGCAGTGCACAAAGCTCGAGGTGCTTCTACCATTTGTGTTAATTGCTCCGAGGGAGTTTGTTGTACAAATACTCGACGTTCTAGCCATTGATGTCGATATTTGAATTCACGTAAGCAATCAGTTGAAAGCTTGGCATCGTCTAAGGAAGGATCGGATAACCACTCTTGAGTCAATGCTTGTTGAACATCAATACGTCCACTTAAATGTTATTATTTTTAATTTTCTATTAAGAAACGAAACTGTGGATCTCTAACTAAAAGCTTCTTAACAAATTCACGAGCATTTGAAGAAATTTGTTGGTTTGTATCATCAAACTGAAACTCCCCTTTTAATACATTTTGCAAAGTTTCTTCATCATTATCACCAAGAAAAGGTGATTGACCAAAAAGGAGAACGTCTTTAAATCATCAAAATTGTCAAGTAATTTTAAAAATTGTTAAATTACAAGTAAGAGCTCCAACACTCCACATATCAGCTGCTAAAGTGACTGGTTCTGTTCCAGCTACTACTTCGGGAGAAACAAATTCTGGGTTAGATTTAATCGAACCACCCATCAGTTTTCCATTGATTAGCCGTCTATATAATCGCAATTAATTATTATTTTGACTAATAAATCACCTGCTTTGACCAAAATCGGCAAGTCGAAGATGGTCATCTTGCAGTAAAATAACTTCTGGTCTCAAATCCAAATGAACAATCCCCCGACTATGCATATAAGCTAGAGCTGTTAATAGTTGTTTTACAAAGATCTGGGAAAGAATTTCCTGAATCAGAAAGAGAGATCCCTTTTCTACCTGTACTTGTTCTTCTCTAGCTCCAGAAGGACGGGGTGCTGATTCCCCAACTTGACATGTAGAAGGAGATCTTGAATGTGAACGTCTAGATGGCGGAGGTAGTAAAGAGTCAAGAAAGGAGCGATCTGCGCTAAAAAGGGAGATAAAACCTGATTTTAATATTAAAAGGTATACACAATTTTAGAGGGCTTAATGAACGTTTTCCTGGTAATATTGAAGAAAATGAGGTAATTGAATCGGTTGAGGATGCCATTAATTAAGTAATAATTTAAGAAATTTAATTTTTAAGAGAGGATTTAAGAGCAATAATATGGCTATTTTCCAATATTTTTTATAAGCTTGCGTGTTTTGGATCAAGAGCTATTGGGTTGGTATATCGGAAAATGCTTATTTGTTTGCTCATCTATTTGAGTTACTCCCTCATTTATTTGTCGATTTTACTAATAATTTTACCAATAAATCCACTCATCGCTCATATAAAGCTCTCTTAATTCTTAAGAATTTCAACTTAATTTAATTCAAAAAATTCAATTTTTGAATTTAATTACTGCAAAATTTTACGAACTTTCCATAAACTATCACAGCTTCCCCATCCTCCACCAAAACTTGGTGTAATTGAGCAAGATCAGGCGATTCACGCAAAACATTATGCATTTGAATATCCCTTTCCAATTCTTCATCCAAAGGCTTCCTTTGTGCCAAAAAGCGTCTGCCAGTAGAGCGTTCAACAACATTGAAGCAAGGAGAAATACTCCTTGGAGTTGATGAAGCAGACGACATTTTTTTAACTTAATAGAGGGATAAATTTTTAAAAATATTGGTATATTTGAACTGCAGGACTATTATAATTTGCAAAGGATGCACAAACATTTATCCACAAGGCAACTGTTATTTAAAGCTATATTTACAGCTTTAAAGCTTGAGAATAGTGAAAGTATTTTAGTACTATTTCTATTTTTATTTAATAAAGAACTTGTAAAAAAGTTGGAAGAGATTTTAACGTGTTGGGGAAACACGATCGATTTAAAAGCACCAGATGTGTGAGGATAAAAGTGAATAAAAATTTAAAAGCATTGACTAATGTTGTATCCATGTGTGTTTGATAAAGTGAAGGGAGTGGGGGGGGGGGTATAATCGTTTTTGGCGTTATTAGGTGAGCAGTGAGATATCGAGGGAGGACTTATGTTAGTAGGAAACTGTAGGAGAGAGAGTCTAAAAGGGAGTCAACCTCACTGAAATTTTTATTAATAAAAACGGATAAATTATATCAAATATTGGCTTAAATTTGGTCAAGAACTACTTAATCTTACTTTAACATAAATATTTAATTTACCAGCTCTATTAGTAAATCCTCAAGATTGCAAGAAGCAGCATAACCAACGCTTAATTATTGCCAGATATTGTAAAAATTAGTTACTCTCTAAATAAATAATTAAGATAATGTTGTAATATTTTTAGATAAAGCAAATAAATATGTAAGTTAAGGCTATAAAAATTTTAAAAATAAATGAACTTTGCTTCTGAATATTTATCAAAAATTAAAAACATTTTTAAAAATGGCGAGCTTTTTGGCCGTAAATTGAGGGATCAACAAAAATTAGGGAAAGAATAAATACGTTCCATTAATTTTTAATTTTTTCTAATTTTAAGGAAAATTTTCACGGAAATTTTCGAAAAATTAAAAAAAACGGAACGTTTAGGGACTAGAATAAAATTTTTATAAAATTAATCTAATTACTACATAAAATTATTTAACAGATTCTGTTGCAATAGAATATTCTTCTTCTACAGCTTCTTGAATATCATAAATATCTCGAAGAGGTCCGCGCTCCAATTTTATAGATTTTCGAAAGTCTTTTAGTTTGAAATCTTTCAAAAAGTCATTTTCGACTGTTAAATAAATTAAATTTATTTTTAAAAAATATTTGGATAACCTTCTACAGTAATAGTACAAGAAGTAACTGCTTGACCTGCGTCGTTGAAGGCAGTACAGCTGTAAATAAATTTAGTTTATTTTTCTATAGGACGCTGTCTTTATCAGAGAGTAGGGTTGGGAGTTCTAAGGATGTCGAACCCGGATATCCAGAAAGTTGGATATCGCTTTCGGCTCCAGAAATCTAAAGATTTCTCAGGAACAAATAATCTCATTAGAGAAGTACAATATGAAGGGTACAATAGCGACAAGGGCTCCTATTTTTCGTGAATAAATTATTTAAAAATTTTACGTATAAATGCCGGAATCGCTCCAAATGGGTTGATCAATAAGCAGTGTACGCAAATTCGAATCTTCTTGAATCAGATGAACGCGTGAAGATTCGGCAACTGGCCGCCAATCCTTTGATCAAATATTTAAAATTTAGGGGGATAAAACCAATATTTATGCACCTTAAGCCATTTAACCTCTGGCACAGGATTGCCTTCTACACGAACATTTAGCCTTAATGGCTTATCAGAAGTGTAATCCCGATTTGATAAAGGTTGAGTGAATTTTGGGCGGGCTAAAAGTTTCAACTGATAAAGCTTATCATTATCTTAAACTCACTAGCAACATCAACAAGTAAATTTTGTTCAGCTTTTCCATACTGGTTCTCAGCCACACAGGTATATTGCCCAGCATTTGACTTTTGAAAGCCTAGGAATGTGATGGTAGTCTCAGCACCAGCATGTGAGGAAATACTGGAAGTATTCAGAAATATTATTTTTTAAGCAAAAAATCACCGAATGTTTGAGGTTGGCCCGGAGGCATCAATATCCCAACCTCTATGTTTCCATGTAATTTTTGGATCAGGATATCCTGCATAATGTAAAGTAATTGAAAGATGGTCAGTTTCTGCAACGAAGTGTCTTTCTTTCACGCCTGGCGCGAACCTAAAAATATTTTCAATAAAACTTCTTTAAAAAATTTTCAGCACCAAGGAGTGCAAGCATATTGTTCAGCATGTGCTTGATCTAAAGCTCGCTCCATGTAAGGGTCAAGAAGAGGTATAACTCGGCGGAACTTGTCTAAAACTGGTGGAGGTCTTGCCATTAGCCTCGATGGGGGTGATGGGGGAGATGGATCGCTAATTCCATAAATATTCTCGGCACGAACACGAAACTGGTAGCTTTTTCCCAGTTCAAGATTTCGAACTTTGCAGACAGGCTCTGGAATATTGTAGTCAAGTAGTTGCCAGTCTTTATCAGGCAATTCACGAAATTCGATAACATATGTAACTTGAGGGTATCTTGGAGGACTTCTCTTTGTTGGAATCCAGGAAAGGGTTAAATAATGGCCAGTAACTTCTCTACAATAATAAGAGATTAAGGATAAGTCAAATCTTTAAGCTTCTCACTTTATGAAAGGCCCTCTATCAGGGGGTGTTGGAATTGATTTCATTTGCCTTCTGAATCCGTATTCTTCCTATAAATAAAAATCTTTTTTAGTAAACATTGCTATTCCAGCGGACCGTTAAATATGGTGTAACGTCTTCAGAACCGTCAAATTTAATCTTGTCCATGAATGGAACTGTTACATCCAAAATGGCAGAACTTTGTGCCTGTCCATGACAGTTACGCGCAATAGCGACATATTCACCCGCATCTTCAGTACAAACATCTTGTATTAGAAGGGCATGCGAACCACCACCAGCAACCTGGATCTTGTGACGAGGGCCGGGGCATATCTTTTTTCCATTGTGATACCTAATAAAATTTTATCTGGGAAGTCTTTCTCAACTTCATACCAATCAACATCCGGCGGTGGATATCCAACCACAAGACAATCAAATATTGCAGGCATTTTAACGAATACATGTTTGTTCTTGAGTTGTCTAATAAAGCCAGGTGGGAATGGCATAGCTCCACGTCCTTCCTCTTCTTCTCCTTCAACAACACGAGGTCGAATGACACTTAAGGAGCCTGTGGAGACAACCTCTCCAAGTGGATTTTTTGCAACAACTGAATAATCTCCGGCATCGTCTGGTTGAACATTTACAATTACCTGAAGAGAGTTAATTGTATAGAGGAATCGGTATAAGTTCCAACCAAATGATGAAGGCCTCGCTCATCTTGGAAAATACTTATCCTCGAGTCAGGTGCGCCAGCAGCTTCTGCCAAAGGTTTACCATCCTTAAGCCATTCAACACTTGGCGTAGGCACTCCCAGAACGGCAACTTGCCATTCGAGAGGGCTTCCTTGATGTATGCTTTGATTATGCAGACCACTAAAACTAAGTTTAAGTAAAGAACTTTAAGGAATCCTTACGGCCTAATTCTCGGCTTCTGGTCAGCTGGAGGGCCTGCAATATTTGATTGTCTTGTGGTTGGATATCCACCGCCGGATGTTGATTGGTATGAAGTTGAGAAAGACTTCCCAGATAAAATTTTATTAGGTATCACAATGGAAAAAAGATATGCCCCGGCCCTCGTCACAAGATCCAGGTTGCTGGTGGTGGTTCGCATGCCCTTCTAATACAAGATGTTTGTACTGAAGATGCGGGTGAATATGTCGCTATTGCGCGTAACTGTCATGGACAGGCACAAAGTTCTGCCATTTTGGATGTAACAGTTCCATTCATGGACAAGATTAAATTTGACGGTTCTGAAGACGTTACACCATATTTAACGGTCCGCTGGAATAGCAATGTTTACTAAAAAAGATTTTTATTTATAGGAAGAATACGGATTCAGAAGGCAAATGAAATCAATTCCAACACCCCCTGATAGAGGGCCTTTCATAAAGTGAGAAGCTTAAAGATTTGACTTATCCTTAATCTCTTATTATTGTAGAGAAGTTACTGGCCATTATTTAACCCTTTCCTGGATTCCAACAAAGAGAAGTCCTCCAAGATACCCTCAAGTTACATATGTTATCGAATTTCGTGAATTGCCTGATAAAGACTGGCAACTACTTGACTACAATATTCCAGAGCCTGTCTGCAAAGTTCGAAATCTTGAACTGGGAAAAAGCTACCAGTTTCGTGTTCGTGCCGAGAATATTTATGGAATTAGCGATCCATCTCCCCCATCACCCCCATCGAGGCTAATGGCAAGACCTCCACCAGTTTTAGACAAGTTCCGCCGAGTTATACCTCTTCTTGACCCTTACATGGAGCGAGCTTTAGATCAAGCACATGCTGAACAATATGCTTGCACTCCTTGGTGCTGAAAATTTTTTAAAGAAGTTTTATTGAAAATATTTTTAGGTTCGCGCCAGGCGTGAAAGAAAGACACTTCGTTGCAGAAACTGACCATCTTTCAATTACTTTACATTATGCAGGATATCCTGATCCAAAAATTACATGGAAACATAGAGGTTGGGATATTGATGCCTCCGGGCCAACCTCAAACATTCGGTGATTTTTTGCTTAAAAAATAATATTTCTGAATACTTCCAGTATTTCCTCACATGCTGGTGCTGAGACTACCATCACATTCCTAGGCTTTCAAAAGTCAAATGCTGGGCAATATACCTGTGTGGCTGAGAACCAGTATGGAAAAGCTGAACAAAATTTACTTGTTGATGTTGCTAGTGAGTTTAAGATAATGATAAGCTTTATCAGTTGAAACTTTTAGCCCGCCCAAAATTCACTCAACCTTTATCAAATCGGGATTACACTTCTGATAAGCCATTAAGGCTAAATGTTCGTGTAGAAGGCAATCCTGTGCCAGAGGTTAAATGGCTTAAGGTGCATAAATATTGGTTTTATCCCCCTAAATTTTAAATATTTGATCAAAGGATTGGCGGCCAGTTGCCGAATCTTCACGCGTTCATCTGATTCAAGAAGATTCGAATTTGCGTACACTGCTTATTGATCAACCCATTTGGAGCGATTCCGGCATTTATACGTAAAATTTTTAAATAATTTATTCACGAAAAATAGGAGCCCTTGTCGCTATTGTACCCTTCATATTGTACTTCTCTAATGAGATTATTTGTTCCTGAGAAATCTTTAGATTTCTGGAGCCGAAAGCGATATCCAACTTTCTGGATATCCGGGTTCGACATCCTTAGAACTCCCAACCCTACTCTCTGATAAAGACAGCGTCCTATAGAAAAATAAACTAAATTTATTTACAGCTGTACTGCCTTCAACGACGCAGGTCAAGCAGTTACTTCTTGTACTATTACTGTAGAAGGTTATCCAAATATTTTTTAAAAATAAATTTAATTTATTTAACAGTCGAAAATGACTTTTTGAAAGATTTCAAACTAAAAGACTTTCGAAAATCTATAAAATTGGAGCGCGGACCTCTTCGAGATATTTATGATATTCAAGAAGCTGTAGAAGAAGAATATTCTATTGCAACAGAATCTGTTAAATAATTTTATGTAGTAATTAGATTAATTTTATAAAAATTTTATTCTAGTCCCTAAACGTTCCGTTTTTTTTAATTTTTCGAAAATTTCCGTGAAAATTTTCCTTAAAATTAGAAAAAATTAAAAATTAATGGAACGTATTTATTCTTTCCCTAATTTTTGTTGATCCCTCAATTTACGGCCAAAAAGCTCGCCATTTTTAAAAATGTTTTTAATTTTTGATAAATATTCAGAAGCAAAGTTCATTTATTTTTAAAATTTTTATAGCCTTAACTTACATATTTATTTGCTTTATCTAAAAATATTACAACATTATCTTAATTATTTATTTAGAGAGTAACTAATTTTTACAATATCTGGCAATAATTAAGCGTTGGTTATGCTGCTTCTTGCAATCTTGAGGATTTACTAATAGAGCTGGTAAATTAAATATTTATGTTAAAGTAAGATTAAGTAGTTCTTGACCAAATTTAAGCCAATATTTGATATAATTTATCCGTTTTTATTAATAAAAATTTCAGTGAGGTTGACTCCCTTTTAGACTCTCTCTCCTACAGTTTCCTACTAACATAAGTCCTCCCTCGATATCTCACTGCTCACCTAATAACGCCAAAAACGATTATACCCCCCCCCCCACTCCCTTCACTTTATCAAACACACATGGATACAACATTAGTCAATGCTTTTAAATTTTTATTCACTTTTATCCTCACACATCTGGTGCTTTTAAATCGATCGTGTTTCCCCAACACGTTAAAATCTCTTCCAACTTTTTTACAAGTTCTTTATTAAATAAAAATAGAAATAGTACTAAAATACTTTCACTATTCTCAAGCTTTAAAGCTGTAAATATAGCTTTAAATAACAGTTGCCTTGTGGATAAATGTTTGTGCATCCTTTGCAAATTATAATAGTCCTGCAGTTCAAATATACCAATATTTTTAAAAATTTATCCCTCTATTAAGTTAAAAAAATGTCGTCTGCTTCATCAACTCCAAGGAGTATTTCTCCTTGCTTCAATGTTGTTGAACGCTCTACTGGCAGACGCTTTTTGGCACAAAGGAAGCCTTTGGATGAAGAATTGGAAAGGGATATTCAAATGCATAATGTTTTGCGTGAATCGCCTGATCTTGCTCAATTACACCAAGTTTTGGTGGAGGATGGGGAAGCTGTGATAGTTTATGGAAAGTTCGTAAAATTTTGCAGTAATTAAATTCAAAAATTGAATTTTTTGAATTAAATTAAGTTGAAATTCTTAAGAATTAAGAGAGCTTTATATGAGCGATGAGTGGATTTATTGGTAAAATTATTAGTAAAATCGACAAATAAATGAGGGAGTAACTCAAATAGATGAGCAAACAAATAAGCATTTTCCGATATACCAACCCAATAGCTCTTGATCCAAAACACGCAAGCTTATAAAAAATATTGGAAAATAGCCATATTATTGCTCTTAAATCCTCTCTTAAAAATTAAATTTCTTAAATTATTACTTAATTAATGGCATCCTCAACCGATTCAATTACCTCATTTTCTTCAATATTACCAGGAAAACGTTCATTAAGCCCTCTAAAATTGTGTATACCTTTTAATATTAAAATCAGGTTTTATCTCCCTTTTTAGCGCAGATCGCTCCTTTCTTGACTCTTTACTACCTCCGCCATCTAGACGTTCACATTCAAGATCTCCTTCTACATGTCAAGTTGGGGAATCAGCACCCCGTCCTTCTGGAGCTAGAGAAGAACAAGTACAGGTAGAAAAGGGATCTCTCTTTCTGATTCAGGAAATTCTTTCCCAGATCTTTGTAAAACAACTATTAACAGCTCTAGCTTATATGCATAGTCGGGGGATTGTTCATTTGGATTTGAGACCAGAAGTTATTTTACTGCAAGATGACCATCTTCGACTTGCCGATTTTGGTCAAAGCAGGTGATTTATTAGTCAAAATAATAATTAATTGCGATTATATAGACGGCTAATCAATGGAAAACTGATGGGTGGTTCGATTAAATCTAACCCAGAATTTGTTTCTCCCGAAGTAGTAGCTGGAACAGAACCAGTCACTTTAGCAGCTGATATGTGGAGTGTTGGAGCTCTTACTTGTAATTTAACAATTTTTAAAATTACTTGACAATTTTGATGATTTAAAGACGTTCTCCTTTTTGGTCAATCACCTTTTCTTGGTGATAATGATGAAGAAACTTTGCAAAATGTATTAAAAGGGGAGTTTCAGTTTGATGATACAAACCAACAAATTTCTTCAAATGCTCGTGAATTTGTTAAGAAGCTTTTAGTTAGAGATCCACAGTTTCGTTTCTTAATAGAAAATTAAAAATAATAACATTTAAGTGGACGTATTGATGTTCAACAAGCATTGACTCAAGAGTGGTTATCCGATCCTTCCTTAGACGATGCCAAGCTTTCAACTGATTGCTTACGTGAATTCAAATATCGACATCAATGGCTAGAACGTCGAGTATTTGTACAACAAACTCCCTCGGAGCAATTAACACAAATGGTAGAAGCACCTCGAGCTTTGTGCACTGCGAGTAGTAAAAGGCCTACAGCGGAGCCTGCTACGCCTTCAGAAATTTCTAGAAGGGAACCTTTAGCTGTTTATGATTATTTGCATATTCGAGCTGAGGAACAAGCAGCAAAACAGCCCCATTTTGCCCAACAAATTCAATCTCAAAGACAGAAGGGTCTTTCTCCGTTGCCAATGCGTGAATCTCCTACACCTAGAGGTCAAAATAATTTTGGTGGACAACCCTTTGGAGATAGAGGAGGACAACAACAACAGCCTCCATTTCCCATACCTCCTTCAAATAAACGAAGTCAATCTCCTGGAACGCCACGATTTCCAACAGAACCTCCACCCATTCCAGATTGGATTGTTTCTCAATTACCCCCAGGCGTTAAAAAAGAACATTTGCGATGGGACCCTTATGGAGGAGGATTTTATTTGCCTCCAGAATTTCAACCAAAAGGTCAGGGAGCTCCACCACCATTACCTCCTCGTAGCAGAAGTGGCTCATCGGAACGATCAGCCCCTGGTGGAGGGTATCAACAGCAAACTGGACCTCCACAGTTTGCACCCTTACCTGCAGGAATTTCAAAGAAAATTGAGGAGGTGAGGGAATTTTCTAAAATATTTTACAAAAATTAATTCATAGATGGCTGCAGCTGCGGCAAAGAAACAAAAACAACCACAACAGCAACCACAACAAAAATTGACTCCAGAAGAGACCGAATTCCTTGCTGACTTGGCTAAACAGTTTGGAATTACTGAATTAAAATTAGAGGATTTAAAAGTAATTTTTGTACAAAAATAAATCTAGACTGATTATTTTTCAAAGAATCCTCAATCAGCTCTTATGAAATTAATTAGAGGAGAGCGTCGACAGATTCAAGAGGAGGTGCTTAATAACAGCCCACTTTCGATAAATTTTTTGTTTAATTTTACAGCTTGCTAATCGTGTTCTTTCCGATATTTCCGAGGAAAGCGGTGGAGGTGATTCGAATAGCTCAGCCACCCAAAACAGTGAACGTTCCTCTGGTACAACTACTCCTCGCCCGCAAAAACAGGTGTTGACAAATATTGTGTTAATCCTTTGTTTAATTAATCTTTGGTTAAACACACACTAAAAACAACAAAATTAATTAGGTTCCTCGAAGAACAACAACCCCAATAGATGCTATGGATGCTGACGGGGAAGGGAGTACCACAACAACAGCTGAACATGAAGGTCCTTCCTCTAGTACGGTAACTCCTCTAGCCTCTCCCGCATTTATGGCCGAATCTCCTCCTCCACTTAATCAACAATTACAACATTTTTTCCCATCGGAGGTCATTAAATAAAAATAGATTTTTGCTCATTCAAAAAATTTTCTTTCAAAATTTCAGAAACTTCCAGACGACATTTCTTCCCCACCCGAAATACTTGATGAAGCAGAACAACATTTTACTAGCAAACATCTTCCCCTTCAAATCCCAGATTTTGGTATAAAATCACCCGTACAACTTTCACCTCGTGGGGAACATACCATGAGCGTTCAGATTGTGCCGAAGAAAGAGGTCCTATCGCCGAATGCCTCTCATGATTCAACAGTCCAAAAACCTTCCCCTTTCCGTCACTTGCCTGATACAGAATTTGATTTACTAATGGATGCCGTTGATCGAGTTAAACGTGATCAAGACAAACGAAACTCTGTACGAGATAAAATTACAATTTAAATTTATTATGATTTTAAAGGAGCAAACCCCAGCCTTACTTAAACAAGAAGAAAAAGATCTAGAAATTTATAGACCATATTCAGCTTATGCTGAATATGAACGTGAAGTAAAAAGTTTACAGACTCTTAAAAATATTAGTGGAGATGAAGATTTTGCCTGGGAATCAAATTATCAAATTGGGCCAGAAACTTTATTGGTGCCAACTTTTGGAGCTCGTTTTAATGCTCGAGTTAGAGATTATAGACGTGGAATTTGGGGAGATTCTGCTGCCTATGTTTTTTCTGGAGAGCTTGGAGCAAGGAATACAGATGTAACTGTTAGAGAAAGGCGTAGATATACTGATTTAATAAGAGGTATTTGAGAGAGTAATTCGGGGATCAAACTGAGATACCGTAATTTTCAATTTTCGGGATTTTTAGGATTTATCCGAAAGGATCCGTCTCATATACCATATGCGCGATTTCCAAGTTTAATCCCAATGGATTCTTTTTATAATTTGCAAATATGTATATTTCTCTCATTTTTCAGAAGAACCCCTTGTAGCAAAATCAGTAGATAACGTTCTTGAAGGCTTACTCCAAACCCATGAAGGTGCACAACTACGAGTAACTAATGGGAATGAATGTATTGAAGCTCAGGGAGAGACTTCTGAAAAGTCACAGAATGTCGGTGAAAAAAGTATGGAAACATTGAAATAGAAATTAAAATAATACTTCTTTAAAGAATTTGCACCCATTTTTCGTTCACGACTGCGTGATGGCTATTTTTCTGAGAATTCTCCTTCGGTTTATATGGAATGTCAACCTATTGGTTAATATCCAAGATATTTTTTTCTGATAAAACTCGAAAATTATCTCAGGTAACCCTTCGCCCGAGGTTACCTTCTTTCATCATGAAAGTGCATTATGTGAGGATGGTCGGCATCAAATTACTCGTTTAGGCAATAACATATGGCGGTGAATAAGTTAACTTTACATAGATTAATATTCACTCGATTTTATTAGATTAACCATTTTAAAACCTCTACCCGGTGTGGATACAGGGGAATACTCATGTGTTGCTACAAACGAATTGGGGCGTGATAAATGTATTTGTAAATGTATTGGAGGAGGTAAAATATAGAATTTTGAATTTTATAATTAATTCTAAAGAACCTCCAAATCGTCCTTCCCGTCCCGAAGTTGAATTATCTGCGGATACGGAAGTTTATGTTAGTTGGGAAGCACCTGAAAGGTTACCTGTTACGGTATGATTTTTTGAAATTTTATTGAATAGAAACCATATTAGCTAAACGGAACTACTTATCGGATTGAATGTAGACCCGCAGGTGAACGTGATGCTTTTTCGGCTTGGACATGTTTAAGTAATTGTGTTGAGGAAGAAGCTGTGGTGATTAAGCATTTATTGGTAAAGTATAGAGGGAGATTCAATTTACTATTTGATCTTTTAGCCTCAAGGTATTTACCAATTTCGCGTAACTGCTAAAAATGAATTTGGATGGGGAGAGCCTTCAATACATTCAAGAATTATTCGGACACATCCTCGAGGTCGAACACATCCTCGAAAATATTTTATTTGATTTTTAGGTGTTCCAAAATTTAACTTAGACGTATTACGTAAGGAAGGGCGTCGTTTTACTGTAGTTATTATGCCACAAAAAAGTAAAGGCCCAGGGCTTACCGAAATTCAAGAAGAATTGGCTGAAAGGGAAGAGGAAGAAGACGAAGAAGGAATTGAAATACAAAATGATGAAAATACTAGGAAGGATTCTTTAAGGAATGGATCTGTTAATGGGAACGGAAATGGGTTTTCGAAGAAAGTTCAATTGAATACTAGTGAAGATCCTCTTAAACGATTTCAGGTACCACAGACCATTACCGATTTAAATTTAATATTAATTGACAGCTGGAAACAGAACTTTTCCGTGGCCAGTTTAGCGTTATACGCTATGCCATTGACTCTAAAACAAGTTCCCATTGTATAGGTATTTTTAGAATCTTATTGTTCCTTACAATTACAAAGATATTTTGTTCAGTTAAAATACGTGCCTCACCTACTCACGGCTCTCTAATGTTTGCAACACCAGCAGAACGTATGAAGGCTGCATTAATTGAATATGAAACACTATCAGAATGTCAACATGAAAACATCGTTCAACTTCTAGCTGCTTATTGTTCTGACAATGCTTTCCAACTTCTTTTCATGGAGCGTCTTTATGAAGATATTTTTCAAAGATTTGTGAGGCTTGAGACATATTCTGAGGTTGTTATCCTTCGAATAGTACTCACAATTAATAATACTTATAGGAGCAAATAGCTTTTGTTATTCGTCAAATTGCTGGTGCTCTTCGATGGATCCACTTTTGTGGGTGAGTTTACCTCTGAGATACCCTCAAACCCCTCAAAACAATAACAGATTTGTTCACGGTGATGTTGAACCTACAAACGTAATGTTTACCACAAAACGAGCTTGGCATGTTAAATTAATTGACTTTGGGAGAGCTCGTCTTATAGGTTCGCGTAATGGATTAGCAGGTGATGGACAGTTACTTGAAGAATGGACTGCACCGGAAGTTCTATTATTAACAACTAAAAAGACTTCTAATGGATTGGAAAACAATTCCGCCAAAAATAACGAAGATCAAATTTTGGCCAATCAGCAAAGTGATATGTGGGGTCTTGGCCTAATTACTTTTTGCCTGTGAGTTTGAGCATCAAATGATTGGAAAATCTAAACCCGGGATTTTCAGACTTGCTGGCTTTCATCCATTTGCTGATGAAACGGACACACCTCAAGAAGTACGCCATAATGTGCTTGAGGAACGTTGTGATCCGAACCTTGTAAAAAAATTTTTAAAGTATTCTAAATTTTCTGTTTAGATTCCAGTACAAGCAAGCGAAGAAGCACTCAAATTCGTTTTTTGGGCTTTAAAGAAACAGCCTTCGTATAAAATTATTTTTTGTGTCAATTTTTTAAATTAAACAGGCGGAGAATGCGTACAGACGAAGCACTTTCACATCGTTGGTTAGCATCAGACCAGGCAATGGTTCGCCGACGTGAAAACATAAAATATGGTTCCTATCGGCTTATACGTACAGCAAAACGTCGCCTTCAGCATCAATGCCAGTTTGCACGAAATGGAGTCGGAGGGAATGAAAGGCAGTTGGATAAAGCTGAGAATGGAACTGGGTTTAGTCAGAATAAACGGCCTGAAATAAACAGATCTTCAACATCCCAGAACAATGGGATACCAAGACAGCGAATTGTTTCAGCTGAATGTTAATAATTAATAGAACATTCTAAATTTTGTATTATCTGTTGTTTCTAATTTTTGATGATAAAATGTTATCATAAATTTACATTATTAATATGATTTACAATATTATGATCGGCTTAAATCGGCAAAATCGCTTTCTCTGGATTTTCAAGCCTAACAGGACAGGATCCCACGGATCAATCCCGTAAATCCCGATAGTCGCTAAAACAATAGATTTCAGGACAGAATCCCGTAAACTCCCGTACGGGAATTCTTAATGATTTTCTCTCATACGACAGTAGGACACACTGAATAATTTGCTTTGAAACGACTCCTTTTAAAATGCAACACTGAAACGTCCACTACCCGTCATTTTTTTCAATAATCACGAGTGAAAAATAGACGAGAGAAAGTAAATCAGAGAAATATACAAAGTCAGTGTGTACTCGTTTGTAAATAATGGTGCAATTGTTATTGCGAGAACGCCTCAACACTTTTTTTTGTTTTGAGCTGGTACTAACCTTGTGCAAACGCATCTCGTTACCGGCTGTACCTTTCTCTTCCCTTCTTTTTTATTTATTTTGCTAAACATTTTGTTTATTTATTGAACATTACTTTACCTTTTGATTTAATGTTTTATTATAATTTTTTGTTATTTTTTCAAGTTGCAAAGAAATTAAAATTCTAACAAAAATGCATCAACCAAATAATTTAACAACTTCTACAAATTTTCACTCTTTTCAATTACCACAATCTTCAGCAACAGCTTCATATTTTCAGACAACAACTCTTTCCCCCCAACACAATTTAAAATGCTCTGCTGTTGTTCAACTAATGCCCAATTGTCATCCAACTACAGCAATGGCTAATCAACAACCAAATATTCCCTCTTCGGGCCAACTACATTTGATATCGTTTAGGCCTGTAATTGATAATGGAACAAAATTTTTGGATTCAAATCCTTGCCAGCCAGGCTCTTCTACCTTTGCGGCTGCTTTTGTTCCTGCGAATTTGATTCATTCAGGTCAACACAACCACCCACATGGACCGAATCCGCCTACATTTTTGGTTGATTTTTTCTATTTTTCTTCATAATTTTTTTAATTTTTAGGGAATTAATGATTGTCTTCCCCTTCCACAAACATTCAGTCAATTGCCCCCTCTACCTCCTCCTCCACCAAATATTTTTATTCAACCACCCTCGGCTTCAACAGCACATTCTAATTTTCTACCCCAAACGTTTTTGCCCCCATCAACGGCCGCTGCAGTTTTGCACAAATTAGCCCATCCTGTCATGGCTGTTCATCACCATCAACAACATATTGTTACTACACCTAATAAAAAATGTCGACCTCCATCGTTGGATGGCGCTGGAGATTGGACTACTGCTGTTACAGGTTATCTTTATGTGATCAATCTTTAAGGTAGGGGTACTCACACACACCCAGAGACTCACAAATCCAAATATTTGGAGGATAAAAAGGATTTGTGCAGATTAAGACTTATTAAGGGGGATATCAGGATTTGGGCGAATTAAGATGGATGTGGGTTTATGGAAACTTACAATTAGACGGAATCTTCAAATGTCAGATAAGGCAAAAGTCAGCATGCCACCGTATTCTTAATCTTGATTCCCCTTTAGCCTCTAAATATCTTGATTTGACCTTAGTGGTGGACTCATTTTTATATATCAATCTTGTTTTTCAAGAATTTTTTATTAAGGTTGGGAGCAGGCAGCAATGATAAAAAACAAAATTGGTTTACTCGTCAACAATCGCTTCCGAATTATGCAAAGTATTGCTTCTGGTTCATATGGTGAAATTTTTGCAGCAGAGGATTTGCACAGTCCTGGAGTTAAAAAACAAAGAGTTGCTGTTAAATTTGATGGAGGTTTCTTTGGTATTTTATTTTTTGTTTATTTTTAACAGCTTGTCGTGACAACCATTTGCGCTATGAGTATTTGGTAAATTATTTAATTTTGGCTTTTTAATCAAAAAATCTTTTTCAGGTTTACAAATCCGTTCTTTATGAAGATGGAAATGGAAAAGTGGAAGGTTTTCCTCAAGTTTATTGTTATGACCACGAATTTGGACATAACGTGAATTTTCAAACCCATTTTTTAAAAAAATTTTAATTTAAGATAATGGTTATGGAACTTTTGGGAGCGCCTGTTGCTTCCTTATTTGCTTTTTGCAATCGAAGATTTGCTAGACAGGTTTTATCCTTTTCTCATTTCATTTCAAGTTTTTTAGACGATTGTATCACTTGGTGAGCAGATGATTCACAGAATAAGGCATCTACACCAACGCGGATTTATCCATCGAGATATTAAACCAGGTTTTTTTAAGATGATTATTCAATTCCCTTTGTATTTTTAGAAAATTTTCTGATGGGATTGCCTCCTGGAAAAGAAAGCACTCTTTATTTAATCGACTTTGGTTTGGCGAGAAGATATCGGTATGGTTACTTATTTTGTTTTAAAAGCCCCTACTGCTGGAGATTTTAACCTTTTACTAACCTGTATCTGGACCCAGACCTTTATTTTCCTGGATCCAAAGTCATGATCAAGGCATTTTTCAGTGTTCCTTGATTCTTCCTTGTCCTTGAATTTTCCTTAAGGTCAAGAATCCGGTCAAGATTTTATTTTTCCTCAATTAAAATAAGGATTTTTTAAATTTCCGATCTCTCCTACTAACCTCTAATTAATTTTTTGGATTCGTCAAGATCCTGCCCATACTTTTCTTCTTCTCTGGCCTATTCTTTGTCCTATGTTCTCACTTTACCTTCGTTTAATTTAATTACCTCTCTTGTTTTAGATTTCGTGAAGGTGAGAACAGAACATTGACTCATATCCCTTTTCGTCGTGGTCGTAGTTTTATTGGCACAGCAAAATATGCAAGTTTAAACAGTCACAAAAATATTGAATTGAGTCGAAGAGATGACCTTGAAAGTTTGGCCTATGTTCTCATAGAACTTGTTAATGGGCATTTACCTTGGAAGGTTTAAATTTTAAATGAATTTTGTTTTTATTCAAATTTTTATTTTCAGAATATTTCAAAAAGAAATGCAACTACAAGACATCAAGCTAGCCAAAGAATTAGACAATTAAAAGAACAAACAAGTTGGGAAGAATTTTGTCCGTGTTTGGCAAAATTTATTCGTTATTGCCGTGAAATTCATTTTGGAGATGAGGTTATTTTTAATGATAAGGTTTTTAAAATTAAGCTAATTTTTAGCCTAATTATGATAAATTACTCGACATGTTACAATCAGTTCTAATCCCGGAATTGTCAGTTTTCCCTGCTCCTTCTCTTCCAGTTTGCAAAACTGTTGAATGTTCTACTGGGGATGTTTCTACAAAATCTAGTAAAGTGGCAGCAACAAAAGCTTTGTGTTGTCAAACACTAAAGACTGCAGAAAAAACGACACAAGTAAATTTTGGACAAGAGGATACGGAGGATTTTGAAAAACAGACTGCACAACAATTGGAACAATTTGAAAAGGAGAATGATAGAAGACGAAGTGATTTTGATGAAAAGGTTTGTTTTTTAGTATTCGGAGCAGGTCGACATACCTCGAACCTAATGTACTGCCGAAATTTATCCAATCCGGGCTTCGCTCAAATTTATTCGGTCCGGGTGCCCTGATATTGTTCGATGCGACTCGATGAGCTGAATCGAGTCCACTAGGGCGTCCCTGATTCGAATAGTTTGAACGAGTTATAGCTCGGCAGTACATTGTGTTGCGGTACTTTGGTCTGTACGCGTTTTCGATTTTTAATGTTTCTTAAAAAAATTATTAATTGTAAGATGTCTGTGACCACTACAAGTGATGAAACAATGTCAGCAATGGCACAATCTATGCAAAATTTTGCTATTACTACTACTGCTGTGGAAAATACTAATGCCGTCAGCAGCGATTATGACGAACTTGGTGGAGCTGCTACAACAACTACAAGTTGTTCTGAAAATGAATTGGATCCAAGTGGACGTGTTTCTCGTAGTAGACCAACAATTCGAAGTGGAACAGGAACTGCCGATGATGAAGATTCACAACCAACTCCGCAACAAGAACAACATCAGGTTAATGATTTTTTTGAATAATTCATTCAAAATTAATTGTTTTTAGGTCTGTAGAAAATGTCGTCGTCTTCGAGATCAAACCCACCAACAGCAACAACAAAAACGAGTGAAAGATCAACAAATTTATCATTTAAAACAGAAAAAGCCTCAACAAAGGGTTGATACAGCTTTACAAACTGACTTGGGAAATGATTATAATTTTGGTTTAGTAGGAAGACAATTTAAAAGATCGTCTACATTACCGCCAGAACAACGAAGAATGTGTTGGCAGAATGCACGTGAAAGCAATGCTGAGAGGAGATTTCAATATGAAAATAAATTTAGGTAATTTTTCTTGTCAAGTATGTTGTAAAATTCATTAAACTTAATTTAGTTGGACCCTTCCAATTAATGCAGAACAACAATTATTATTTACACAACCATCTGGAATCCATCCCGCAATTCAAATTATTTCTCCATCTGCTGCAGCGTTATTGCCGATATCACCATTAAAGGCACCAACGATAGCGCAATTTACTGCTGCTGGGTCGAGGACAACATCAATTCCCTTTGGAGTTCCAACAAATGCATTGATACAAAATCAACAAGCTGCTGTAGTACAACAACACAATCCATTTATCCATCCACCACTACCATTGACAAAACAAAGCAACATAAATTGTCAAAAACACTTTTCTGATGAGATGCAAAATCTTTTACAGAAACAAGGAACACCTTTACAAGTTGCTTTTGTTTTGCCCCCTCCAACACTTGCAGCAGCAACAATTTCGGATCAAATAGGAACTTCAGCTGCTCCGTAGGAACAATAAAATTTTTAGTTCAATAAAAAGGAATGTTAAAAAATTTTTTTCCAATAAATCTTTTCTTCTCTATGCTCCCCCTTATTTCTATAAATGTCCCCGTAAATTTTCCTAAATAAATTTGCCAAATTATTGAAAAAGAAGTGCTAGAAATGTGTGAAAATTTACCAAAATATCAAGTTAATTTAAATATAATGGAATTTAGTTTCAATGTAAATAATGTTAAAATATCTCACTTAAACAACGTACACAAATTAATCATAAACTGCAAGCTCTTCAACTTCATAATCAAAACTTTCGTCTTGGTAGCGATGTCGACTCTCACCTTCTTGCGGTCGTTTCTTATTAAAGATTTCTTCTTGTGGTTCAATACCAACTTCATCCACCAATTCCAATTTTGTGTTGGCTTCGTCTTGCGATACCTCTACATATTTGTCATGTTTCCATATTAAATCTTCATCAGCCTTGGAACGCCAATTGCCAAAACCTCCTTTGGCAAAGCCTCCACGAGTTGGCGCTCCGACACCCCCACCACCTCTCCCATAACTTTGAATTGCAAAACTAGCCTAAATTTATAATAAATGTATTTATGAAATATTTAAAAATCCTAACCTCGTCAACATTTCCTTCTCTATCACCAAAATTACGCCATCCAGTTGGAGCTGGTCTTCCTCTTCCTAAAAAATTAAAATAATATTTTAACAAGGCTGTCCAAAACATGCAAGTTTAGAGCTGGAGATCCTTTCCTTTTTCTTGTCCTTTCCTCAGCATTTTGAGGACGTACCATGAAAAGGGACTCCAACTCCCAACCTTGCATGTTTTGGACGGTCCCATTAATAAGTCAAACCTTGTTGTCCAAAGCGAATATTGTTTTGATTGCGTTGATTGACAAACGCTGTATCACGATGATCATGCTAAAGTATTAAATGAAATACTTCAATAATTTCCATTTAAACATACAATGAAGTAATTCCTTCCACGAGGCACAGGAGCCTGTTCAGTTTCGGATTTGCTTCTTTCCGCCTTTTCAGTAGGTTGAATAGTTCTAGCAGTAGGATTGGAACCATCTAATATTATTTTTAATTTTAAACTAAAAAAATAAAATTACCAAACATCCGACCATGTTTTTGTTGTTGCATTCTCGGTGCACTACAAATGAATTAAGTAGCAAAAAATACGCCGTAAAAATAGTAAAAAAATTCAGCAGCTCGTTTGTTCCGATGAGGGGAGTGTATGAACTGACCCAGTAAATGTAGCGGCGCTTCTTATACCAGCATATTGACGTTTCATTCCAAAAGTGCCATGATTAGGTAAAAATCGCTGTAGATAGAAATCATTGGAAGAGAATTAAGATTTAAAAAGATAAGGTCCATACTCTTTGATTTGCGCCTTTCTGCGTATGTTCTGAAAAATAAACTTGTTAAAATATTAAATGAAATTAAGTGGAGGGCAGAAAATAAGGCTGTTCAGTGCCATAGACCCCCTGGTTTTGGTTTCCAATTCGCAAAAATACCGGTTTTCGGTTCGGTTAACCGACCGTGAACAACCTTACAATTAGTAGGAACTACTCATTTTTAGATGAAGCCTCAAAAATAAAAACCTCGTTTAATGGATTCTGCGGAAAGTTCGTTGACAGTAAACTTGGGAGCATCTGCAGGAATTTCTTTATTGCCTTCTCTTCCACCATTATTTGGAGCAAGTATCCTGGGCTTGGCTAAAAAATAACAATATATGAATCTGTAAAAAACGCTTACATTGATTGCCACCACGGTTAAATTCATCCATTCCAACATTTTTACGAAATCCTGAATCCGCGAAATTTGTATTTGAAAACCCCGAATTTGCAAAGCCCGATTGAAAGTCAATACTACCAAACCCTCCATTTGCTATTGCACTATCATATTGCTGAACTTCATTACCACCAAAAGCAAATTGTGACGAATCTGTACCTCGAACCAGATCTTTTTCAGCTTCTTTTCGCTCCCTCTTAGCCTCAGGAGCGTCACGCTAGAATTTTTAATTTTCAAAGTGAACTCAAAAGTAAAATCATACAACCTTAGAACGTCCATTGTTATCAACACGCGTTCTTCCACCACGAGTAGATGCCATATTGGGACTTGGGCTTCGTTTCCGTCTACCATCTTGTCTGTTGCGTGTGCTATCGCGGCCAGTTTCTTTTTCACCTCTGCCACTTATTGCCCGTTTGCTAAAAATTGTTTAAACATAAATAAACATAAAAATAAAATCAAACCGTTCATCCTCATGACGCGACGTTTGCTTACTACGTAATTCACGAGTTCTGGAGGACGAGCGTCGAACAGCCGTTTTTCTGTCTCGTTCAGAAAGTTGAGGATCTCGACTCCTTTTGGAATTGCGGTCACTTTTATCTTCTCTCATCAGATCACTTAAAGATCTGTAAAATAAAAAGAATATGTATACACGTATTTAAGAGACAGAATCTTAGTACGTATCTTCAATACAGTCGATCTGTCGCACTAAGCTGAATATTTCGCACTGAACTGACCTCAAACTTTAACTGTTTAATGTCTCTTTATTTCCCGCACTCTTTTTACATTTATTGATTTTTTCAGCGGCCATTGTTTAGACATGCAAAGGCATGTACTGGTTAGAGAAAAAGAATTAATTCTTCCCACGGTAGAGTAGTGAAAATGCATTTCTCTGACCATTACATGTTTTTTCTGTGTTGTTACTTAACCGTTTTGGACAGTATTTTTACAATGGTGTCTTTGACTCTAAAACGGCTAAAACAATGTCGGTGTATAGAGACTCAATTTGTTGACATTCTTGCTCTATCTTTTATTTTTTTATTTTAAATTTAAATTTCCGATTAGAAACTAGAAATCCATAAAGTGGTTTTGAGACCGCTATATTTTTAAATATTTGTTTCAGAATTCAAAAATCTGCGATATTTGGCATAATGCAAACAATAAAGAATAAATGACACTTCATCCCAAAAATCAATAATCGATTTTTAATGGCTCGTCTAGTGTTCTCTGTTGCCATTTATAGCAAAGATGTTCTACAACTTGGAGCGTGGCTTTTCCTTTTTTGGGGTTAACCTTTTTGAGGGGTGGGGAGGAGTAATGACTTGCGGACAAGACTTGCTTTTTTCAATTTTTGAAAAATGTATCCAATTTTTAGCAGCAGCAGCAGTAACAACAGCATCAGCAACAACAGCAGCTACAACAACAGCAGCAGCAACAACAAAAAGCACCAGTTTCTCCGGAGATAGCAGGGCAAAAAAGCACCAGTTTCTCCGGAGATAGCAGGGCAAAAAAGCACCAGTTTCTCTTAGGAGATAGCAGGGCAAAAAAGCACCAGTTTCTCCGGAGATAGCAGGGCAAAAAAGCACCAGTTTCTCTTAGGAGATAGCAGG